CATCAGATACATACCAGATAGGTATGGGATAAAGTCAACACAGCAAGTCTGCAATTCTTCTGTCTTTTTTCGTTTTACACTTGTTGAGTGTATGATTTCAACTTCTGTGTATACTTGAGCTCTTTCATAATAAAATACTGAAGAAAAGCCTTCAAAACTGGGTCGCAGTTTCCCCTCCTCTCCTGAAACACCTCCCCACTGCCCCTCACACTCTGCTGCCTGTCCACTCCCCTGCACCCTCCCTGGGTGGCACCAGTGACCCAGTTTAGTATGCACTTGCTCTCAGGCTAGCAGTCTCCCCCGAGCTCTACACCCCATCCTGGGCAGGGGCCCAGAAGCCGCAGACTGGACCCAGCAGCCAGGGGAGTCCTGGGTACTGGGGCTGTTCCCACAGGGCTGGCCTGGCCCTGAAGTGTTCGAGCAGGGCAGCTGGGCAGCTGGGGACTGGAAACCGGCTGTGGGCATTCTAGATACCCGTCTACATGCACTGTGGCAGGTGCCCAGAAGGAGAGGGCTCTTCCCATTTTCCCAGGGGAAACATGGGGCAGAATTTGCCCATGGTTGGAGGGCCAGGAAATTCTAGAAAATTCTCTTGAGCTCACTGTGTAACCCAGGCTGGCCTCAAACTCTGACAGCCCCCCGCCTCAGCCTCCTGAGTGCTGGGATGACAGACATGTGCCACCACACCTGCTCAGCGTGGGTTTTAGGATTGAGTCACCACAGACATGGCATTTGCCAGTTAGATGCCAGCATCATGGTGACATCTTACCTGCATCCCTGTTTCTCGCCTGCAGAGCCCCAGACGACAGCCCCAGGCGGGTGGCGAGGCGGAAATCCATCTCCTATGACCTGGCGGAGGAGGAGCTGATGGTCAGCATCGAGCGGGAGTACAGCTGCTGAGGCCGCACGCGGTGGCTGTCCCTGGTCACGTCTGTCCCCAGCCCGGGCTCGGTGCCGCAGAGCCACCTCCAGACTCGGATTGGCCTGTGCAGACTCACGCTCCTGCGGCCACTGCTGGAGGGTCTGGGGACAGGCGTGTGGCCCCTCCCAGCCACCCAGGAGCCAGGGACTCTCTTCTTCTGTGACTGCTGTCCAGGGGCGAGGGCCATGGCACCTGCACACAGCAGTTTTCACCGAAGCCAGAGTTTCCCGGCCAGCACAGCCTCAGGACACAGCCTTCAGCCAGACATCCCCACCTGGGACCCTTGGCAGTTGCGCGCAGACAGGTGTGCTACGAACTTCTGTGACCAGGCACCGGAGTGGCTTTGGTTGGAGCTCCACGGAACTCCTAGGCCCTAATCTCTGGTTTCTTATTGCACAAACCTTTCACCTTTTACTAAGCCCAAAGCACCCCTTTTGGTAGAAAGATGAAAGCCACTGCTATTTTAATAATACAAGCACGTACTTTAAAAGAAGTTGGAAAACAAAAAGTTGAATTTTTCTCTCTTTTTTTTTTGGTACTGGGGATGGAACTTGGGTCCTTGTGCTTTTGAGGCACCAAGCTACATCCCTGGCCCGAATTTTTATTTCTTAAAGTGGGACTGGTGGCGCACGCCTGTGATCCCAACACTCAGGAGGCTGAGGTGGGAGGATCACCCCGAGTTTTGAGGCTAGCCTGGGCTACACAGTGAGTTCAAGGCCAGCCTGGAGTACACTGCAAGACTCTAGCCCAAAACAACAAAATAAATAAGATTTTAAAAAATCAAAATTTTATTTCTTACCACCAGATGAATCAGGCTTTGAACTTGCTGATATACATGTTTACAATTTGACGTCACGGTTTTGTTAACACAGGGCACTTAGGCTGGCTTCCAGTGCGACCCTCATACAACCCTTCATGGGATCAAAGTGTAGGGAGGAGAGAAAATCTCCCAGAGTGGTCGCCCTCTGTGATGGCAGAGTGTACGTCCTCATGGGAAGGGGCACCCACGCTGTTCTCAGAGGTTTGTTCGTTTCTGGTTTTTTCTTTTTTGTAGCAGGGGATTGAGCCCAGGGCCTTTTCACTCAGCTACACGCCTTTTTATTTGGGGAGACAAGGTGTCACTAAATTGTCCAGGATGGGCTCTTGAATCTGTGATCCTCCTGCCTCAGCTTCCCAGAGTGCACCACCATGACGAGTTGAAATAATATGATTAACTTTCACTGACTAAAGCCCAAGTTACAGAAATGGCTTGAAGTGGCTGTGGTTTCTTTTGGAGAGTTCTTTTTTTTCCCCTCCCTGTTTTTTTTTTTTCTTCTTTGAGACAGGGTCTCACTGTGTAGCCCAGGTTGGCTAGAACTCAAGGTGATCCTCCTGCCTCAGCCTCCCCAGTGCTGCTGCCCCAGCACTTCACATGTGCTCACCACCACACCCAGCTTCTCTTTTAAAATTTTCTTAGCAAATACAGAGTTCGCCTCAAGCCAGGTTCCATAGTGTGGGGCAGAGGTAGCCAGGCTGGGCTGAACAGGACACCAGGTGCCCAGGCAGGGCCAGAGCACTGCAGAGGGGCACCATGTGACCTTATGGGACCCTACTTTATCAGCCATCCTCCAGGGGGCTCCATGGAGCCTCAGCTCCTGCTCTGGTGACAGTGACCCATGAAACTCTGGGGTGAGGTGCAGCCAGGCTGCCTGCACCCTGCTGCAACCCCCTCGGTCTTAGATTGAGCCCTTGCACCATCACAGGGTGCAGCTCCTGTCCCTTCCCTCCCGCCTCCCTGCCTGGTTGTGGGGAGGCCCCCTGTGTCCTCCCAGCTTGTGTGGTGGGGCTGCTCCTTGCCTATGGGTGGCGATCCCAGGAGTCCAGCCCGGAGGGACACAATGATGTTCCTCTAGGACACCGAGACCACAACACCGGTTCTCAAGTCCCTCCATCCCACTAGCAGGAACCTGGTACTTCTACTTCAAGGGCAGTATTGCATTAGCTTTCTTGGGGCTGGAACACGGCGTCCCATGCCCACAGCTGAGGGGAGGAGAGGATGGATCTGCCTCACGGTCTCAGGGGATGCAGTCCATGGCTGGCTGGTCCAAGGCAGGAGCATCTTGGCGGAAGGGCGTGGGGGAGCAGAGAAGGGGAAGCCAGAGAGGAAGTGGGAGGAACTAAGTACAGTACCTAAGGGCACAACTCCACATCACCCAGACACACCCAGAAGTGTGCTCCAGCCATCCCAAAGCCAATCAAGTTGACCCTGTACCCCCACTGCTACAAGTATTCCTGAGGCTTCTGGGGTCACTGTCACCTGAGCAGGGAAGCCAGAGTCTCAGGGAATTCAGGGCACACACCCTCTCCCTGGGGTGCTGTGGTAGGGGCGGCCCACAGAAAAACTGCCTGGGCACCTGTGTCCCAACTGCATCCCACACACAGGCCCAGGGTGGGCCCAGCCACATGGTGCTCGCACTTTGAGCACATTCTGCTCTCTCCAAGAGTCCTATTCTCTTGGGTTTGTTTGTTTGTTTGTTTTTTTAAGTACTAGGGATCGAACTCAGGACCTTTTGCTTGTGAGGCAGGCACGGTGCCACTGAGCTAAATTCCTGGCCCTTTGTTTGGTTTTTTGAGCCAGGGTCTCAATACATAGTTCAGGCTGGCCTCAAACTCAGAACGATTCTCCTGCCTCAGCCTCCCAAGTGCTAAACTCTCTCAGGCTGACTCTTTTACTCCCCTGGGGGGGCAAGCGTTACTGGAAGAGCAAGACGTGCCTGAGCCTGGATTTGCTCACCTGAGAGGATTGCTCCAAGTCCCGGCATCCTCCTGCGACCTCCCAGCACAGGCTTAGGAACTCATGATGAATCTGGAAAGACTCAGGAAGGGTGAAGTGGGCAGAGGGGGAGCAGGTTCAGAGACAGAGGGCCATGGCTGGGGAGTGAAGCCCGGGTGGCAGGTGCTGGGGTCCAGCGGGAGCCCCTCAGGGCACGCTCTGCACCCCTTGCAGGCTGCACAGTGTGCAGTCCTCTTCTTCCCTCCTTCCGAAGGTGCGGTCCAGGCAGACATTCTGCCCACTCCCCCAGAAGAAGCACAGCTACGCAGGGGCTCCCCGCCTGAGTGGCCACAGCAGCAGCAGCTGGGTAGGCTGCGGCAGGCTGGGGCTCTGAGCCCTGCAGGCATTCCGTTTCCGCTGGGAGCGATGGAATGTCCCCTGTGGGTGCCGCAGGTGCCAGGCACAGCCTGTGCCCTGGTTTTTCTTTTCTGCTCGTGTTGCTGGGGATCAAACTGAGGGCCTCCACACAGCTGGATCCCCAGCCCATTTTTATTTTTTGAGTCAGGGTCTCACTAAATCACTAAGTTGCCCAGCTGTGCACAAACTCTCAACCCTCCCAAGTGCTGGGACCACAGCTGGCGGACCTGGTTTTCCAGGTGGCCACAGGGCTGCTGTGCAGAGAAGCAGAGAAACAAAGAGGGCCGGCAATGGTCCAGGTGATGTGATGGGAGCCTGGGCCAGTGACAGCAGATGAGGAGCAGGGCTAACACTGGACATTCTGCAAGGAGCCAGGGTCAGTGAGTGTAGCACGGGGCGCAGGGAGAGGGCGCAGGGGCCCAAGGTCTCGGCCAGGACCAGCAGGATGCGTGGAGTCAAGTGCAGCAGAGCAAGCATGGGGAGGGGAGGACTCGACCCTTGTGAGTTGGAGGTGCTGAATCGACAGTGTCCAGTGGACAGTCAGGGAAGCCAGGCGTGGTGGCGTATGCTTGTAACGAGGACAGCCACCTCTTGGGAGGGTGAAGCAGGAGGATCGCAAATCACAGCCCAGTCTGGACTACACAGTAAGACCATCTCAAAAAAAGGACAGGAAGGTGGAAGGGCTGGGGATTTAGCTCAGTGGTTCTGGGGCTTGCCTCGAAAGCGCAGGGTCCCAAGTTCCATCCCCTGTACCAAAAAAAAAAAAAAAAGAACTTTATAATTGAGATTTTAGAAGTCCGAGGAAGCCTGGCAGTTTGAGGGCAGAGCCCCGGGCCCCAGCAGTGAGAGCTCAAGAGCTGAGGGCACAGCAATGGAGCTGCCTTGGGGGTGGGGTGGGGGCGGGGCCTGGGGCCAAGGTCGGAGCCCCCAGCCTCTGGCAACACCAGAACCCTCCTGGGGCACTGGGGACTCCAGGGGCAGCAGATGGGAAGACAGCTCAGGTGTTTCAGTGGCTCTGGGGACTGGGCCCAGGGTCTTTACACTGAGCTATAGCCTAGCCCTCATTTTTTATTCCAAGATAGGGCCTCATTCCCCAAGCTACCCAGGCTGGGCTGGAGCGTGCCATCCTCCTGCCTCAGCCTCCCAGAGTGCTAGACTATGTGACTGGGTGGCCTCAAGGATCTCTTTGTGTCCCCCAGCACAGGCGGGGATGAGCCCCATGGCAGCAGGGCCATGCTGCCCTGGGGCCATCGAACCCAGACCAGAGCCCACATCCCAACAACCTGCAGAGGACACACACTCCAGGACGTGGAGACAGGTGGGTTCCAGGAAAGGGGGCAGAGTTCAGGCTGGGCTGGAGTCACCGACTGGGAGGGGTGAAATGACAGGACACAAGTCCATTTTGTGAATCAAGAAAGTTTTACATGATTTAAAGAAAAAAGTTACATTACACATACTCATTTAAATAATAAGGCGCAGTCTGTTACATAATACATAATTATGAAACATTTTAAATTTATGACTGAAATTACTTTAAAGGCTCCAAGTCAAAAAGATCAAGCACCCGGGGATTTAGCTCAGTGGTTCTGCCGCCTGCCTATCAAGCGCAAGGTCCCAAAGTTCAACCCCGGTACCAAAAAAGAAAGAAAAAATAAAAATCAAGCAAACCTGCTCGGGATAAAGTGCATGGGACCCTGCCTGGGCGTGGCCCCACACCCCACCCAGGGGAGTGTGGACTGGCAGAAGTGGCCAGCAGGGTCTGGGTCTTCTCCAGAGTTCAGATGGGAACTGTTCTCTAACCTACAATCTTTCAACAGGCAAGAGGAGGTCTTGTAGAAAGTGTCCCTCCAACAATCAGGAAGTGGAAGCTAAATTCTAACAATTTCAGGCCCATTTATTCTTTAGAAACCACACTGTGGAGAGAAGCCAATGCAAAGCGGAGCCCTCCGGCCACTGTCTCCCACCGCAACGCCACGGCTGGAGCAGCACTCAGCGTGGAGTAATACAAAGCCACCCACATCTGAGCCGGGGTGACACTGGGCAGCCAGTGTCCACACCGAACTGAAATGAGGGGCAGGGAGGACGCTCTGCAAAGGACAGTCTTCTGAAGGTCTAAGAACATTCGACTGCAGAACTGCCCTGGGTCTGGAAACCTGGAAACCTAAAACACACACACACACACACACACACACACACACACACACACACACACACGGATGAAAAGCAGCTGATATGAAAGGGCAGCTTAGCGGGCATCAAGTAACATACACTGAATGAGGGCGAGGGTCATAGACTACAAAGACCTGAAGACAAAACCTACCTTTAGTTAATTACCCAATAGTTCACCTGCCCTCATTAGAACAAAGGCTCAGTGCCAAAACTGAAAGGCAAAGGCAGCATCTAGATACATAGTGCACATAAAAGATTCTCCAGCTACCAAAACAGTGCAATGTTCCCATCTTCTGCTGCAGTGCTGCCTGGACTCCAAGGGATGGGCTCGCCTACCCCTGCCTGCCTTCCCAATGATGCAAGAAGCCCCACCCACAGGACACTGCCTCTCTGCTCAAGACACCTCCCTTCAAACAGGAGGCGACCAAAAGAGCAGACCACAAGCTCCGTAGTCTCACACCTAGTGAAGGAATCCTCGTGGGAACCCGACTCCCGGATGCCGTGGTTCCCAGAGCTGAGCTCTACAGCCCACCGCCTCCACACGAGGAGTGCGGCCTCCTTCGGTGCGTGGGCAAACTGCTCCTCCATGGCTGAAGGACACGGGCACCCCGACACTCACAGGCCACAGGGCCTGGAGCTCCCTGGGAACGACTCCGCGAAGCAAGCGAAGACTCCGCAAAGCAAGCGGCCACGCCATGGCACGCCAGGGCACGCCATGCCACGCCGCTCTCCCCTTCTCTTCAGGAGGCCCTCCTTCAACCAGTTCTGATTCCAAACAAGTCTTAGCTCCAAGAGGCCTGGTAACACACGGGATTTCTTTCTAAATTGTGTACCACGCTTACTAAAAGCAGGGTCGTTATAAAACTGTTATTAAACACTGAAAAGGCTGAATATGATCTAGAAACTGGTGATTGGAGCACCAATATAAATATTTTTATAAAAAACAGTATAAAAGTAGTACCCTGTCTTATTTCTACAAAACATGAGTAGAAAGGTTGTAAAAATCCAGATTTTGTAAACTTTACTGCCAAAATGGTTGTTTGAATGCTGGTGATTTAGCTTATCAATTTTTCCATTCCCTTAAACAAAAAGAAACCTGTGAAACTGCAAAAGATAGAACAGGGTCCCAAACAGAAAGCAGTGAACAGCCCTCCCCAGCGCGGTCCAGGAGGAGCCCGGCTTCCTTGCCGCCGGCCCGCGGGCTCAGGGCAGGGTCAGGGCGAGGCGGGCCCAGGCGCAGGCATGAGTGGGGCCGGTCGGGCCGGGCTCTCGGCCGCTGCGCTCTCATGCAGCTTGCCCACCTCTGCCTGCCAGCCCGGGACCTTCTTGGCACTCATGTGGCGCCGTGCGTGCTTCGTCAGGTGGTCGCTGCGCATGAAGCGCCGCTCGCACACGGGGCACGCGAACTTCTTCTCCCCTGTGTGCGTGCGGCGGTGACGCGACAGTTCGTCAGAGCGCGCGAACTTCTTGTCGCAGCCGTCCCAGCTGCAGTTGAAAGGCTTCTCCCCTAGGGCGGGAGAAAGCGACACAGTAAGGAAACGAATGCTCAGCACCGATGGGCTCAGTTCAAATCATTTAAAAACTGTTTTACCAAAATCCCAGAGGAAGGGAGTAATATCCTATTATTCTGCTATTGGGTGATTCTGAAGTCAAGAAATCATCCAACATGCATTTCTTCCTACCACACCTACAATGTTATATGCCAAGGCTCTAAATCAAACTAACCTAATCTTTAGGTGGTGCATGCCTGGGATCCCAGCATTCAGGAGGCTGAGGCAGGAGGACTGCTGCAGGTTCGAGGCCAGCCTGGGTTACATAGTGAGTTCAGGGCCGGGGATTTAGCTCAGTGGTTTCGCCGCCTGCTGTGCAAGTGCAAGGACCCGAGTTCGATCCCCGATACCAAAAAACAAAACAAAACAAACAAACAAACAAACAAACAAAAAATACATAGTGAGTTCAAGGCCAGCCTGAGCTACATAATCAAGACCCTGTCTCAAAAAAGGAAAAAAACAAAACAAAACAAAAAACTTTTAGACCAGTAATCCCAGCATTCTGGGAGGCTGGGGCAGGAGGATCACAACTTGAATCCAAGATTGTGCAATTTACAACACCTTGTCTCAAAAAAAAAAAAAAAAAAAATTCAATCTCCGGTACCAAAAAAAAAAAAATTTAAGGAAAGGACTGGAAATGTCACTCACTGCAAATGTCACTCACTCTTCAATTCCCAGTTTTGTACATACATATAGTTTTTAAAAATTAAAAATACGGGGCTGGGGATTTATCTCAGTGGTTTTGCCGCCTGCTGTGCAAGCGCAAGGACCCAAGTTCAATCCCCGGTAGCAAAAAAAAAAAAATTTAAAAATACAGGGGCCAGGGACTTAGTTCAGTGGTTTTGCTGCCTGCTGCGCAAGCACAAGGGCCCGAATTTGATCCCCTAAAAAAACCAACAAGGAAAAAAAAAATTAAAAATACACAGTTATAGCTTGGAATAGGAGGAAGAATTTTTTTGTGTGTGATTTGAGACAGGGTCTCACTGTGCAGTTCAGGCTGGACTTGAACTCACTATGTACCCAGGGATAGCATCAAACTCATGATAATCCTCCTGCCTCAGTCTCCTGAGTGCTGGAATCATGATGATGCATCACACCCACCTAGGTGGAAGAATCTTAAAAGGAGTAATTTTTCCCTCTCAGAACACACTACACATCGGGATCTTTCAGACTTCTCAGCCTCCTTTCTTACACCAACAAACAGCTCAGAATCCTGACAGATGCCTTACTGCTAGGAGCTTCAAGTTACCCGGCACCTGCCAGATGCCTCCTCCCTGAGGGCCTTCCAGGGCCTTTCCAGCTGCACCCCGAGGCCCTGGGGCCACACACGGCTCTGGGCCCCAACGTTCCTGTGCATCCACTCTCTAGGCAGCACTCCCCGAACACAGTCAGAGGCGGAGAGCGGTGCTGAGGCTTCTCCAGACTCCAGCTCTGCCAGGTCACTGGGCCGCAGAAGGGCTGCAGGCTCCCTGGGTCTCCGAGACCCCACTGCGGGCAGCACGAAGTTGCTACTCTGGCTGGACCCGTCCCCAGCCCCATGTGCTGGCAACAAGTAGGATCTGAGATGGGCTTGTGGCAGGGACTGGATGCTGAGGGCAGGCTCAGGGCAGCCGCATGGACAACCAGCTACAGGCTGGGCTGCCACAGGAGTGGTGCTGTGAGGAAGGCGAGGCTGCTCTCTGGCACGTGCACTGTGAGCGCACGAGCCGCTCTGCCCAATCTGCCATCTTGCACTGCAGGCAGCAGGGAGCCTGACAGCCCCCCACAGGGACTCCTGCAAGGCAGTGCCTCTGCACCACCCTCCGCCAATTTCCGTGTTTCTCGGGTTGGCAGAAACCATCACAAGTAACCCTATGGACACAGCCTCACCCCAAGCTCCGATGTCCATGGCAATGCCAGTGAAGGGTGACAAAGAGCCCAACAAGGGTCTTCTTCAGAAACTGAAGGACTCCGGGAAGCAGGCCCAGATCCTGCTCCGATGACCACCCCGCCAGTATCTCTCCAAAGGCCGTGGAGGGAGGGGCAGGAAGCAGGTGCCATCATGCCACATCTGCAATCCACCTGGCAGAAGCACTGTGCACCAGGGCCAAGACCATAGCATTCCTCAGAAGCACCCTCGCTCTGAGGAGGCACCTGTGCCACCCTGCTAAGGGCCACCCATCAGTGACTGGGTCAGCCTATACCAGACACCAAGAGCTTACACCCAGTGAGAAGGGCTGCGTAGAAAAAGAGCAGGCATGGTGCTCAACACCTGTGATCCCAGCACCTGAGAGGCTGAGGCAAAAAGCTCGCTGAGATCAAGGCCAGCCTGGACTACATAGGGAGACCCTGTCTCAAAAGACTCAAAAACGAAAGTAATTAAGAAATGCGGGGGGGACGCCCTGGAGCTGGGGATTTAGCTCAATGGCATTGAGCCTGCCTCCCAACCACAAGGTCCTCAGTTCGATCCCTGGTACTGGAAAAAAAAAAGAAACAAGGGCCAGGGATGTAGCTTTTGCACCCTGAATGCCTGGCAAGCACAAGGTCCTGAGTTTGATCCCCAGTACCAGAAAACAAACAAAAAACCAATTAAGAAACAAAGGGCAGTGGTGGGGAGACACACTGCAAGCCCTAGGGTCAGAGAAGGAAGGCCAGCAACATCTGGGAGGTGATGTGGGGAGGGCTGTTGGGGGTGCTGAGTATGGATAGATGGTTTGTGAACCAAGACAAGGGCTGGGGTGAAGGGCAGAAACTCAGACCCGGACTAAGGGCAAGGAGGCGTCTGCCTGGGTAAAGCAAGCACTTCAGAAGCCCCAGGCACACAGCCACTTCCTTCCCTCCATGGGCTGGCACAGTTCACATCCTGCCTCGAGGGCTCTGTGGCCAAACGTCCATGTGGACCCAGGCCTAGGCACCTGCTTCTGTGCGAGAGAGTGGGAGTCTAACGCTGAGAACCACCCAGGACACCTGAGAGAGGCGGCCCGGATCTGCCAGACCCTGCTAGAAAATGCCACCCGTGAGCTGTTTAGAGGTGAATTCCTTTTCCACAAACGTGCCATTCTGTCCCTCAACCACCAACTCTGTCAAGGACAGAGCACCTCTCTCACAGTAGTGGACACAGGCAATCTCCAGGGTGGACAATGAGGAGGAGACTACTAGGTCCTCACAGCTTCCTGTGTGACTTTGTCCAAACTCAAGATTCTATATGCTCAAACAAAACAAAACAAAAAACTACAGTGCTACCTTGGTTCATACACTCAATTCTCTCCACTGTTCTGGTTGCAAACCTAACTGGATGAGAACCCACCCAAATTTCCCCATAAAGTCAACATTGAACCTAACCATTGAATTTGATTCGGTTCTCATTCAACTTGGTTTGCGACCACAATTTTGGAGAAAAGTTTGTGAACCAAGGCACCACTGCATACTCTCCATACCCTGGAATCCGAGCCTTCCTAGTTTGGAAAACTTGCCCTAACATGCACTTTTTAAAAATGTAACACAAACACCATGGCAGAGCAAGGAGATGTGGATGCTGCATATCACCTGCCAGCTGGGCACTGCAGCAGGGTGCTGGCACAGTACCTGGCTGCACCTACCCGTGTGAGTGCGCAGGTGAGCCTTGAGGTGGGAGCTCTTGAAGTAGGTCTTCCGGCAGCCTGGGAAGTCGCACATGTAGTTCCTCCTCCGGCAGAAGTCGACCTGAGGGGTGCAGCTTTGGCTGGAGGCAATGAACACAGGCGCAGGGGCGAGGGGCAGCAGCTTGGTGCTGCCCACAGCTACAACGCCAGGCGGGGAGCTGGCTGGTAGGGGTAGGGGGGCCTGCGGCAGAACCAGCATCACAGCTCCCTGAGGCATGGGCACGGGTGGGCCCACAAACACTGGCTGGGGCAAGGGTGCAGCTTGGGATAGGAAGGGTTTCCCAGGCCCGGAAGACAACACAGGAGGGGTCTTCAGAAAAGCTGGCAACACCCCGCCCTGCCCAGGCACAGGGATCATCTGGCAGAGAACAGGGGGGCTGGAGACAGGGATGGAGATCAGAGGGCTGGGGAGGGAACTGCTCTTCCTTGGCAGGTCACTATCAGGACTCTTTGGTAAGCAGGCCTGCAGGGCAGCAGGCCACCCTGGCTGCTGGCCTTTGCCCATGGGGAGAGGGTCACCCGACTTGTTCGAGCAAGGCTGGCAGGAAGCCAAGCTGGCGAGGAGGAAACTGTCCTGGAGGCGCACATCCTGCGGGGCTTCAAACAGGCCGGGAAACCATGCCTCTCCCCCTCTGATCTTGGCTGCCCATTCTTCTCCGGACTGCACAGCAGGAGAGCCAGCAGGAGCAGGACTCTCCCTGGTGTGGCGGATCACACTTGTCACCACAGCCCTGCAGGGGCGGCTGGGGGCCGGCTCCGGCAGCTCGGGCTTCAGTTCTGGTGAGCCTTGCTCTGCCCTCCAATCCAGTGCTCTGGCTGCCAAGATGGGGGGCACATCCATGGGTGCTTTGGAATGGGTCAGCTGGGGAGGAACAGGTGCCCCTGGTGGTGGCTCCATGAGATCCGGGCTCTGAGGAGGGGTCATGCACTGGAAAATCAAGGCACCGAGAGATAAACCAAGTGAAAGGCCATTTGGGGGTAACTTTAAAGGCATTTACTTGATCACCTTGTCTCTGATGCCTTTAAAGATGCAACTAGAAAAAAAAGGCCAGGGATTTAGCTCAGTGGTTTTGCAGCCTGCCTCAAAAGTGCAAGGTCCCGAGTTTGATCCCAGGTACCAAAAAAAGAAAAAGACGCCTTCTCAGTCTGAGCCAGCTCCACCCCCAGCAGCTCTCAAGACTGTTCCCGGGAACCTGCTGCCCACTTCTAGCAAAGACTTAATCAGTGGCTCTGCCTGCTCCACTCCTCTCCACCCTGTCTCCGACAGTCCCCTGGGGAAGAAGCGAGGTGGAGGGGCCACACACTTCTACCATGCATGTCTCCCAGGGCAGTCACACCCCAAATGTCACTTGCGAGCAGCTTCTCCAGCATAAGAAGCCACTTCACAGCTGTAGCAAGTTAAACGACAGATTTATGCCGCCAGGTCCCATGGGAAGGCAGAGGTACCAGCATCATGACGAAGTGCAGGCCCCACCTGTCCTGAGCCTGGCCCTGCTCACTGGCCCACCCAAAACTCCCCAGGAAGGAAGTGACTTTCACTTCCTGGTGTCCACCTGCACATCCAAACCAATGCTAACTGTGGCTCAGCAAGCAAAGCCCCACCAACAGCTAGACATTTTCCAGAGAGGAAGGAAGGGTTTTCAACTCCTGGGACCTGCAAGGAAGCGCCCCTTGAATCTCACACAGTCCATTTCTATGCTACCTTGGCCTCTCAGAGAAATGTTCCCCTCCCTCCTCTTACCAGAGTTGAGAAAGAATGCAAGTCCTTTGGTAGCTCAGGTGCAGCTGTGTCCACAAGCACAGTGGCAGGCACATCTCCAGAGTCAGAGACGGGTGTGAGGGGTCTTATCTTCAGCTGGTCCCCTTTCTGGGCTCTCTGACCCCAGGAGCTCATGCACACAAGAGCCTCAACAGCTTCGATGTCCATCTGCTCCAAGATGCTACATGCAGACCTCTCACTGTCGTGCCGCTTCCTCTCCAGGATGGACTCACAGATATCCATGATGTCCACCTAAAGGTGACAACCATAAGGGGTTCTCAAAGCAGGTAAACCGGAAGACAACAGCTGTATTCCAGAGCACCTGGGCTCTGTCTAGGACAGGACTTCCAGAGAACGGAACACTCCCAACAACTCTGCTTTCGGACCACACTCAGCCAGCAAGCACTTTCCCCTGAAAGCCCTGACTGGCCTGACTCCAGGTATAAGCCCAGGGCCGGCCTGAAGATGTCACAGGGAGGAGGAGCACACAATGGCACTAAGCTGTCTGCTATGGGGGATACCCTCTAATGATAGCTGAACTAGCAGAGCCAAAATCACATTCCCACAGAAGCATTCTGGAAACTCTGGAGCACAGGGCAAATGTCCTAGTGGCTGAACTCCAGGCAAGTAAGCCAAAGCCTGCTTCCCCTCGAATTCAGACACATTAAGTCAGCTGCTAACCCTCAGCACTAGGAGGAGGAAAAAGTAAAAGATCCACCATGAGCCAGGTGTGGTGGCACATGGCAGTAATCTTAACACCCAGGAGGCTGAGGCAGGAGGATCACTGCAAGCTCAAGGCCAGCCAGGGCTACATGAGGAGTTCAAGTACAGCGTGAATTGCACAGCAGGACCCTATTCTCAAAACAAACAAAACTGATTCGCTACAGCCGGGCCTGGTGGTGCATGCCTGTAAGACCAGCAGCACTAAGGAAGCTGAGGCAGGAGGATTGCAGCAAGTTCAAAGCCAGCCTGGAGTACACAGTGAGACTGTCTCAAAAAAACATACCACAGGGCCAGGGATTTAGCTCAGTGGTGCCACCTGCCTCGAAAGCTTACGGTCCTGAGTTCGATCCCAGGCACCAAAAAACAAAAAACAACAACAACACACAATCCAGAAAGACCTCTACTCAGCGCGCCACACCATCATTTTTTAACCAAGAACGGTGACAGAATTTACTGATCTCTTCTGAAATCAAACCTTAAATCTCTACACACACACTCCCATTCAACTTGCCCGAACACCAGTTTTCCATCTTTCAGGCCTCCCTCAGCAAACACCTCAAAAGGCTACCTTTGCAAAGGCGGGGTCTGTTCCCCAGTCCCGAGGCACTCCGTAGCGTCCGCGTGCAGCGTTCCCGCCAGTAGCCTTTCCCCCGCCCACGGCCCACCCCTTAGTCTGTCTGGCAGTTCTAGCCAGCTGCCCTTACTAGCATCAGCCTTTGCTCCGCTCCCTTCCCCCGTCAGCCACCCTTTGCCCCGCCCCTTGCCCCGCCCCTTGCCTTGCCTCTTTCCGGCCCTATTCCCTATTCGCTTCTGCCCCGCCCTCATGTGCACCACCCTGGACCCGCCCTTCCCTTTGGCCCGCCCCCACGTTTTCAACTCTTTTCCCTTCGGCCCGCCCACTGCCTGCCGCCTTCCCGCCAGCCACCCTGGTCCCGCCCCCTCAGCCCCGCCCGCTACCGGCCGGCTTTCCCGTCTAACCTTTTCCTGCCTTTGGCCCGCCCCCTGCGTGCCGCTTTCCCGCCAGGCGCCCTTACCCCGCCCTTACCCCGCCCCAGCCCCGCCCCCGGCCCCCCACCCCCCCCCGCCCCCCGGGGCTTTCCCGCCTCCCCCCCTTTCCCCCCCCCCCCCCCCCCGGCCCCCCACCCCCCGAGTGCCGCGTTCCCGCCAGCCTTGCCCCCGCCCAACCGCCGCCCTCCACAGGGTCCAGGTGACGTCATGGCTGGAAATAGCCCCGTGCCAGGCGGGGCGTGGACGCCAGACAAAGCTGCGCGCCGGCCGCGCGGCACACGCCCCCTGCCCATCCGGCCTCGGCAACTCACGAGCCCGCCTGGCCCGAGGCTGCCCCGCCCATCACTGCCAGGTCCGCCGCGAGGCCCCGCGCCCCCCATCCCACCCCACCCCGCACCACGACCTGCCTCGCCCGCGTTCAGACCAGCTTCCCTCCGCGCTCGCCCCTTCACTCACCGCGCGCGCCTCGTCCGAGCCCGCGGAGCCCGGGGTGTGCATGGTGCCGGCGTGAATGGGCAACAAAGTGGCCGCGGGCGTGAGCTCGGTGCACAGCGGGGACCGCAGCTCCCGGGCCGGCGCCCGCGCGGCTCTGCCCCGGCGCGACCCTGGCGGCGAGGGCGGGCGGTAGGAGGGCGGGGCGCCGCCGAGGGCGCGGCCGGGGGCGGGGCGCGCGAACCAAAATACACCGCCCCACCGGGGCGGGTCGGCCACCCCCAGCCAATCAGCAGTAGGCCAGTGAGCGGCCGGCCAATCAGGGCCGCGGGGGCCGCGTGATCGGAGTCTGGCCGCGGCGTGACCAGGCCTGGAGGAAGGCGGCACGTGTTTTGGTCGGGGCTAGGGGCGGGCCGCGGCGGCCTGGAAAGTAGAGGAAAGGTCCCGGCGCCGCGCGGTGGTGGGGACGTCCCGGCAGCTGCTGGCTGGGGATGCCGCCCGGGTGGGTCTCGTGCTGCAGGGCTCAGCCCTGTGCTCGTTCCGTTTTAAATGCCTGTAATCTGCGTGCGGCTCGTAGGGCTGCATTCTTGGCCCGGAAGAGGGTTGATCCTTGGCGGCCGCGGGTGGCATTCCTTCCTCCGGGAGGTCTTGAGGCTCCCTGTGTGTCTGGATGTGATGGCAACTTATTCTGAGTGGCTGTGTCCCTAAATCCCGCAGCACGGCTGTGGGACACCGTCTGCTCTGAACCTGTGTTTGCGGGGCTCTGACGGGGAAGGGGAAGTAGAGCGAGGTGTGGAAAAGCTCACCGCAGATGACAGTGGACACCTGAGCAGCTGCTGGCCCCTCGTCCCGTTAAAGACGCCAAGGCGGGGTGCAGGACTCCTACCACCCCTGTGTCACAGGCCTGGTTTGGTTGACCAGAGACCTTGGGTCGGCCAAAAAGAGGATATTTGTTGAAAGTGACAGTAGGACGAGTCTGGCGTGGTGGTGCAGGCCTGTAATCTCAGTATCGTGAGAGGCTGAGGCAGGAGGACCCCAAGTTCAAGCCCAGCCTGGCAACTTAGTGAGACCCTGTCCCAAAATGAAAAATCAGAAGGGAGCATCTGCCTGGTGGCTCTCACAGCCCCCTGTTCATACCTGTCCTAACAGCACTATTGCCCAGCACCCCGGAGCCCTGAGCCCTGAGCCTCTATCCTCCACTGTGCTGGGGACAATGGGTGCCTTCTATGCTGGCTCCTCTAGCTCCAGCCTTTCTGTCAGGCTGGTAGGGTCGCTGTCCTTTGTTGCCTGCATTTCATGTGTTGGAGACTCAGTCCCCGAAGGCTTCAGTTAATGACATTGGGAGGAGCGCTGTGCCTGGGTTTCAGAACCGTCCCTGAGCCCTGTCAGGGTGCCGATGGCTCTGACTCCATGTGCTGGGTTAGCCTGGGAGGGCTCATCAGCAGAATGTGCTGTTAGGAGTAAGTGGAGCCCTGGATATGAGCTGGTGTGTGTGTGTTTGTCCGTCCAATCCAGGGATGCTCAACCACTGAGCTATACCCCTAATGCTTCTTTTTTTTTTTTTTTTCTTGAGACAGGGTCTCACTGTGTAGTTCAGGCTGGCCTTGAACTCACTATGTAGCCAAGGTCGTCCTCAAATTTATGGCAATCCTCCTGCCTCAGCTTCTCAAGTTTTGGGATTACAAGTGTGTGCTACCATGCCCGGCATACTTTTTATTTTGAGACCGTTTGTTGAGTTGCTCTTGAACTTGAAATCCTCCTGTCTCAGCTTCCTGAATAGCTAGGATCACAGACATGATCCTCCAGTGCCTGGCTCTGGCTCCCCGTCTTACCTTTTTCTTTTTCTCAGCAGCAGTGAGACAAGCAGCTTTGATTTGCCATGCCCTTCTGCAGTAATGTGTGGGTCACTGTAGTCCTGAAAGGCACAGAGGGCCAGGCTTGGTGGCACACACCTGTGATCCCAGCATTTGGGAGGCTGAGGCAGGAGGATTACCGTGAGTTCGAGGCCAGCCTGGGCTACCAGTCAAAACCTTTCTCAACAAACAAAAGCCACCGAGCAGCTGAGCATGGGTTAAAACTTCTGAAACACTGAACGAAAATAAATTTTTCCTCCTTTGTCTTTCTCCAGGATGGTGATGAACAGCTATCTTGGAGGGCTGATGAGGACTAAGTACAATCATCTCTCTAAGGGCATGTGTGGTTTTATACAAAGGCAGAGCCAGGTGTGGTGGAACTCACTTGTCATCGCAACTCTGCGAGGCTCAGGCAGGAGGACTACAAGTTCTACCCCAGCCTGGGCAATGTAATGACCTAGTGAGACCCTTTCTCCAAATAAAAAATAAAAAAGGATGGGGTTGCAGCTAGGGGCAAAGGCCCTGGGTTCGATCCCCAGCACTGAAACATATAAAAATAAAGCATGAGAGGGCTGGCAATTTAGCTTAGTGGTTCAGCCACCTTCTTCGAAAGCACAAGGTCCCAAGTTCCATCCCCAGTACCAAAAAATTTTAAAAATAAATAAAGTATGAGAGAGACTGGAGCTAGCACACTTCCTGTGCCTGGGAACAGATGGCCTCCACACATGCAGGTGCAGCAGGAGCCTGGAGCTCCGCCAGATGTTGAGCAGATGCAGGGGTCTCAGGCTTCCCAGCTACCTGGCTGAGGCATTTCTGTTCTCACGGAAGACAAGGGTCAGGGCTGCCAGGGCGTGCCCCATGCTGTCCCCTCAGATGTCCAGCATGGGTCCCAGGTGAAAGTGCTGGCTTAGTAAAATCTGGGGAGCAGAGAAACCCCCAGATCTGGGCTCCCAGGGCAGCTGCACTCACAGCCCCTCCTCCGTTCTTGCCTCGCTGGCCCTCCTTCCTCAGTGAGCCCAGGGGAGGAGCTGATTTCTGGACTCATTCTGGGCCTGGCAGCCCCTGGCAATGAGGACACACACAGGGTCACCCAGTGCCCCTTCCCCCGGTCACAGGCCCTTTGGCCGGGCCTTGGACACTGCAGTGTTGACCAGAGCACAGCAGTGCGGCCAGCAAGGGACAAAGTGGTTCCCGGCCACCACCCCCTCACTGTTCCTCCCTGCCAGGCTGGGAGGAGGTCGGGAGAGCCGGGTGAGGCAGGCCTCCATTCTTCCTGCTGTTAGCTACTGTTTTTTCTTCTCTCTCTCTTTTCTTCTTGCTTGCTCATTTGCTGGCTTTCCTGAGGGTTAGCCCTATGGCTTTCCCACTGACCTACATCCCCAGTGTTTTTTTTATTTTTTGAGACACCATCTTGCTCAGTCACTAAATTGCTCAGGCTGGGTTCAACCTTTCGATCCTCCTGTCTCACCCTCCCGGAGAGCTAGGATCACAGGCATGCGCCACCATACCTGGTTTAACTTGTAGCTTTTGTTGAAGGAAAACTCCAGAATGGGGCTGAGGGTGCAGCAAGGGGCACGGAGGGGCACTGCCTGTGGATGGGCAGGGAGGGAGGACGGGATGAGGAGGAGTGAACCTCTCCACCCTCCCCAGGGAGCCTGCCACCAACAGCAGAGGTCTGCAGCGCTCCAGGCCAGCTTGGTGCAGGAGCAGCAGTGTTGCCTGCAGTTCTGCTGGATTAAGGACAGATGAGAGGCAGGCATGCACACTTAGCCTCAGGGCCAGGCAGGAGGCGGCCATCCAGGGAACCTCGGTGACCTTTGCTCCTATTGTCACATCTCCTCTAGCTTTGCATTTCCCATCTTTCAGCACAAGACACTGATTTGTTTTGTTTATTTCACAGCACTACCAGCTGAAGTAGGGCCTCCTCTCTGAGCTACAGCCTGGCCTTTGTTATTTTTATTTTGAAACAAAGTCTGGCCAAACTGCCAAATAGCCTAGGTAGGGCTCCTGCCTCAGGCTGTCAGAGTGCTGAGATTGCACTCGTGGGCCACCACTCCTGGCTTCTTATCCTTGGTGGGTTTTTTTTTTTTGGTACCAGGGATCAAACTCGTGCTTGCGCAGCAGGAGGCGAAACCACTGAGCTAAATACCCGGCCCCACTCCTGGCTTCTTAACACAAGACATCGAAAGCCTAGGGAGAAGCCACTGCCTGCCAGGCCACCGTGAACTTCAGCCTGAACAGGTCTCTGGGGCATCTGGAATCTGCACATGTAACACATTCCCAGAGCCCTTGATGCCCAGGTCCAGGGATCACAATGTAAGGACTTCCGATTTCTAGAAAAAGGAATAGCCAGGTGTGGTGGTGCACACCTATAATCCCAGCACTCAGGAGCCTGAGGCAGGAGGATGACTGTGAGTTTGAGGCCAGCCTGGGCCACAGAGTGAGACCTTGTCTCAAAAGAAAAAAAGGCTTGGGAGCCCAGGGTGGCCTTGGGCACAGTGCAAACCACCCCCTGGCTTTCCAGGGCCACCATGAAAGCATTCATGGCTGCCAGTCTGGCCTGCCTAGCCAACTGCTTGCAGCTGGGCGTGCTGCCAGTACGGTTTTCCCAGTGACCCAGTGTGGCACTGGCTCCAGCCCAGGCAGGCAGCAGGACCAGTGCGGCAGATATAGGAGGTGACCGGAGGAGGCGGTGGAGAAGCATCTCACACATGGCCTTGCCCGGGTCCCCATGGGGCCCTGAGCACACACCTGCCAGACACCCTCGCCTGGCCCCTGGCCTGCACTTGCCTGGTCTCTGCTCTGGCTGGGCGCCACTTGTGCGATGTCACTGCGGGCCCCCCAGGCCTGGGGAGCGAAGCCTCAAGCTGCCTGACCTCCTGGCTGGCGCTGTTACCACTCACGGGAAGTGCCCAGCCCCGGAGTCCACACTTCTGGCACTGCAGCCCCTCGGCTGGGCTCCTCTCTGTCCCCTGGTTTCATCCTCCTCTACTGCTTACCCAGTGTAGCATAATTTCCATTTCCGGTACCCTGCACCTGAGCCCAGGACCTCCAACTCCAGTACATGGAGATTTCTTTTTTATCTTTTTGCAGTGCTGGAGTTGAACCTGGGCCTTTGCATTGAGCTATATTCCAGCTCCTTTTTTTCTTAAATGTTGGGACAGGGGCTCATTAAGTTGCTAAGTTGGCTGGGCTGTCCTCGAACTCACAGTGCCCCTCCTGCCTCAGCCCCCCCCCGCCCCAGTGCTGGGATTCAGGTATGCACCATCACACCAGTTGCTTTTTAATGTGCACCTTGTGTGGGCTGCTCTTGCAAGATGCTGTTGAAGCTGG